TCATCTACATATAGGAAATGTGAGGTAGTTCTACATAAAGTTTAGAGTTATGTCTATGAACCAGTTGGGCATTAAATATTTCACCTCAGAGTATTCTGCTCTTTGCAATATTATAATTCATTAGTGCATGTTGTACATGTCTCCAGGAGTTGAAATACTTGACAGTAGAATGAACAGTCCAAATGCAAATGACTGTAGAAGGATAATTGTACACAAATCTCAATTTTTAACCAAAAATGGATGGAGATACCCATACAAGTGTCTGTGTGCGCACACACATGCACACACACACACACACTTTTAAGTAGAATAAACTGTGACTAATATTTTTTTTCTAAAATTCAGTCCCCTGTATGTGAGCATTAGATCCATATAAGTAATTTGAGAACTGATTATTGTTTGAAAACATCTTTGTGCAATTTATAGATTTTTCAGTGTCGTTGAGAACTGCAGCCATTACTTTTTTTTCTTTTTTAATCTAATTAATAATACACACACTCCTCTTTTTTATGACATTATTATTCACAAGGCCATTCTTTCTCAAGGATGCCATCAGTTTCTGTTGAAGAATTGATTTCACTCTTTGTTTAAATGTCCGTACTGGTTGCTATATGAAATGCAAAACTAAATATCATTAAATATTTAAGATGTATATACGGATTTGATTAGGTTTGCTCAGCTCTCAGAGTAGTCCCTGTCTATGAATTCTTATGTTTAGAAGGCTGTTTGCTCTTCAGTCAGTCTAGCAAATGGGGCTCGGGGCAAATGAACTCATTCTCATGCACGTGTTTCTAAAACAGTTCTTACTAATGTTTGAGATAAATTAAAATAAAAACCAACAAGAGCATGAAAAGAGACTAAGAGCAATGTTAATGTGGCAATTTAAACCAATTTGGTTTTCCAAATGACCTTCCATCTTTCATAGCATTTAACAGTATGCAAGATCGCTATCATTAGTGTCAGATACTATCAATCTGGCATGGAAAACTTAAAATTATTTTTCTAAATGTCTTTAAAGCTGAGGTGGAGAAGAATGACTCTCTGACTTTCACAGAGGTCTAAGGTTGAATTGTGGCTATGCTGTCCTTCCAAAACATGTCACTTACCTGATTATCCAACATAATTAACTCTTTTTGTAGCCTGCATCGTGTCCCCAAATGATTTTCTATCATGCCTTATGATTTGAAAGAGAATGGATTGACCGAGTCCTTAGGGAGGCCGAGAGCCCTGTGCATTTGGAGGAAGTAAATCAATGCAGCTTCTCAGTTAATTTATTTGATGCATATAGAATGCTGGTAATTTGGAACTTTAGTTACTTCTGATTTTGCCTTGCAGGTTACTAAGAATATTTAGCTTTATATTTGCTCTTGACTTCTCTAATCCATTTTACAGTGAGTGGAATGAAGGACATTACTATATTTTAATGTTTTAGCCCAAATAATATGTAGAGAAATCTCAAATAACAGGTATATTCAAGGTGAATCTGGCACCATCCATTTGCCATTTCTGTCATGGCTAAAACTTAAGAGAGGGCAAGATTATGGGAATGAATGATATCCCTGTGATATCTGTCACCTGTAGAGCAGGATTAAGATTGTAGATGTAGGTTATTTTCCATGAATGCTCTTTTTTTATGCTCCTTTTCTATGAAAACATCTGAGAGTTTACCCACCTTTATTTTGGATTAATAGAATTCTGTGTACCTGAGAATCATTATAACGATCTTTAATTGGTAACTATATTAAAAGGTAAAACTAACGTCTTTCACCATGGGCTTCTTGAAGAAACAAGAAGTTGTCTTTCTGTTTTTACTCCCTGCCTGCCCCTCCTTTTCTTTCTGGGAGAAATGCCACTTTGAGGAAAACTTTAAAAAATCCTTTGAAATTCTCAAGTGTTAGTTATTCTTTCCACTCATTGGACTTTATCAAAAAAATATTATTATGTTATGATTTTGCCAGGCCAAATAAAAGTCCCATAATATTATCTGGAAGGAGATCCAAAGTTGTCTCTTTCATGAAGCCTTGCTTTTTTACTCTTGAGTAGTAAGGATAATGAGACCTCTTGGAAGAAGTTGTTCATAGGAAAAGTGAATGGGGAAACTTGCAAACTGCCTGAACAGTGCCGGTCCTACCCCAGCCTCACCTCCCTCACTACCTCCAAGGAAGGCAGGTACCAGTTTAATCATATGTGGAATCATCTTACCCAACAAGAATACCTATTTAGAGGTAGCCCTAAGATTAAAATGCCATCACGTTGCCTCCATTCCCTTCGTCTGATGTTATAGTCAATCCTAACAATTACTACGGCATTTGGACTTCCTTGCAAATGTTTCCAGGTCACCTGTTTTGAGATTTTGATTTCATTTTTAATGTTGATAATTTGGAATGGGATTCTCTCTGTTCCCGTGTAAGGCTATGAGTCAAAAGTAATGGATTAAAATTCACCAGTTTCTGCTTAATAGATGTGACATTGGTTGACAGAAAAGAACAGTTCCCAAAGCATGGCTCTATTATTTCGTGATTTGAAGTATATTCACTAGGGCTGTATCTCCATGACCCTACTCTCCAAGTCTAATCTAATTAGAGAAACCATCCAGGGGTGGTAACAGCAGACTTATGAAAGGAGAAGGGAGAGATGCTGTTAAAAGCACTGTTTGAGCCTTGAACCTAATTAAATATTTCATGCCTGGAAGAAGTATCCCTAACAAGCTTTATGAATGGATACTTGTTCAGGAAAGACTTCTCCCAGGAGGGAAAGAGAGAGACGGGGAAACATATAAAGCCAGTGTCTACCAATAGTAATAAAATGTAGGTGCTCAAAAGTTGAGCAAATGCTCTACCACTGCCTTCATTCCCATATATTTACTTTGGTTCCTTCCTTTGAAAAGTGAAGAAAATCTATAGTCAAAGAAATAGAGATATAGTCATCCATGGTATCCTACATATTTGACATAGGAGATGGGATGCCGGGGCCTCCTCTATGAAATAAGAAGTCTCCCTTGGCCATCAAAGCTTAAATTGTCTTCTTTGGCTTCTTTCTGCCAGAAGATAAAGTAGTTTCAAATACTAAAAGGCTACTGTAGAGTGATGTGACTGAAGAGCATATTATGTCAGGCAAATTACTCATGGGTCAAGTTGATCCTTACACCTAAATTGGCCCAGTTAAGGTGTGGGTGGGCAGAGATGGAGAAGAGTGAGATGCAACCCATTCCTGTAAATAACCAAACCTCTTGCTACTGTCCCAGCTTCCATTACCAAAACAGCATGGAGCACTGCATAGCTAAGACTAACCTGACCTCCAATGTGTCCACCAAGGGCAGAGTGACTTCAACTCCACCTCTACTAAAGATAAATTGATATCTATCTCTAAAAACTTCATAAAACAAACCAAAAACCTAGGATGTTTTTTAATGACTTATTGACTTTTCAGATTGTTCTTTAAGCTGTTTTTTAAACTTTAAAGGCAACACTGATAATGAACGCTTCCAAATGGTAAAACAGAAAATCCCCTTCAAATATAACCGGCCCGTAGAAGAGTGGCTGCAGGAAAAAGGTAACCGTCGTTAAAACTTTCATTTTAAAATCATTTGATTCTAAACCCTCATTTTTAAAGACTGCAAATAAATGTTTCTTAAATGATAATCGCCTGCTGCATAAATGACTGTTTTAATTTTCATTATAATTTGTGTCAGCTTCCACCTGCCATATGTTGATAAATCATGCTATAATACATTGCCATTAAAACACAGTTAAAGGGACTAACATCTAGCTTGCGATCAGCATGACAACCACAAACAAGAAATTGCAGGCATCTCTAAAAAAGAAATGTATGATGGCAATCTAACCACTGCATGACATTATTTGTTAATTTGTTTTAAATTACCTCTTATACCAAAGCTTCCTAAAGAAATTTCCAAAGTACTTTTTAAACTTACATCTTGAGGCTGTTTTGGCTTTACTATCTGTAGAACGGTTAAAAAAAAAAAAATCATAGATTGACTTTGTAACTTAAAACTGCTTAAAACAAATGTTATAAGGGGAGCAATTTTTTTAACATTTGTTTTTAAACAAAGAAAAGAACAGAAAAATGAATTTTGCCTTTAAAGTCAAAACCTACAGAGGCAAAAGCATCTTGTAAAATGTTGTGTCCTAGCTGCTGACTGAAACTAAAAAAAAAAAAAACTCATTTTACACTTTGGTTGTATGGTACCCTTGCATATTTGATTTTTTAATACAACAAAAGTGTAAGTGCTTAAGACAATGAGTTGGAAAGGGAAAGTCTTATGAAAGGCAAAACAGCAGTTTCTGGTTTGCTGGAGAAAACAACCACTCTGTTAATGAAAGAGGGCAGCGGTTATAACTGATGTTCGAATTTTCTGTGTGGCTTCTATTTGCTAGGAAGTAAACAATTGTTTTTTCAATGAAGAAAGTTTTCTATTTAAAAAAAAAAACTATATATTTTGTTCTTTCCTGAGCCAGTCAGTACAAGCTACTCTTGTCTTAAGAAATTAAGTTCTTAAAATTTGATAGAGTTATATATATATATGTATATAAAATGCAATTGGATAAATCACTTAATATACACTTAAAATAAAAAAAAAACTAAAACCTACTACAGTTTTAAAGTTGGATGAAAACATTTGGACCTTTGAACACTGAAAATCCTCATTGGGTCTTAACTGTTTGCCCTGTTTTTAACACATGTGGTCTAATTAAAAATAACTTAAGACTAACTCTAAAAAGCAAATAATTTTGTTCAGTAATCACCAGCTCATAAAGTCCCTTTAACATTAAAGACGATGATTGCCTCACTTTTTAAAAAGGAAAAGAAAACTAGATGCATGTCTGAGTCTCATGTGCCTGAGAGAACTTTTTTTGTTTCTTTCAATTTTATGTTAATAATATTTTATTTTACTCCATTGCCTTTTGAAGCCTAAGTTTAATAGCATGCCAGGCATTTTCATTTGTATAAACCATTATAAAGTTATTAGTAGGCTTTCAGTTTTTCTTATGATAGCATATTGTCAGTTCACCTTCATACAGGATGTTTTCAAGTACCCAAGAAGTAGAGGCGTTGGGATAGGGTAAGGGTGGTTGATGCTGGATGGAGGGATGCAGTCTAGATATGTTTATATATGCATATGATATTGAAAAGGACTATTTGCAAACTCTGATATTCTCTTCTATATCGTTTTCACTGAAATTACTTTTTTTTATAATTTGGGTGAGTAACATCTATTCATTCTATTGCTTTACCTCTTCCCCTGCCTAGCTAACTTTCCTTTCAAAAGGAATAGAAAACATACCAAAAGGCCTATAAGGACAATGAGTACAAAGGGTAAATATAGAAGGATCATTAGGCAGACACAGGAAGTACTTGGAATACCTCTTTGGGGTTATTTCCATCTTTGGGGAAGAGAGTTGGGTCACAGCATTCCTGAGTCCGTTTTCTGTCCTTGTCTACTACTGACTGACTTTCTGACCTTAGATAACCAGCTTAACCTCCTTGTATCTCAGATTCCCCATCTGAGGACAGGAGAAATAATACTTCCTGTTCCTCAAGGGTGTTCTGAGGTTTCATTAATTAGTCTTTGAGCAACACTGACTGGAGATGTGTGAAGATTTAATTTAAGCAGTATGTGAACTTGATATCCAAATAAGGTAACAGTTAATGACTTCCAAGAGAATGGGAATCCAAAGCAAAACAAAAAGTAACCTGTTATAAATCCTATACTGATGTTATAATACACAAATTAAGTAACTGTTATAAAGATGAAAGACCTTTTTTTGTTTTTTAACCAAATTTTGTATTACTTATGGTAGAACAACAAACACATACCCCCCTCCCCCCCCCACATACATATATGCATATATATACATATATATGTATATATATACACATGCTTGTTAATAAGGAGGTGACAATAATAAGATCTGGCATTGCTTTTGATAATTAATTCTTGGTCAAATGATAGAAAGGAATCTTTGTCCAGTCAGTCCCTCAAATCCTTCATAGGATGAGGTTACTAATGACTATTTTTCATTTATTCCTTTTCTCCTAATTGTCCAGGAGAAATAAATTGATCAGAGGAAGGGATGGTAGGAGAATTAAAGTGTCCCCCTTTAATGACTGCTAGCTTTGCACTAACCACTTAACCCAAGGTACAGAGAGCTAGGAGAGGGTCTTGGAACAGAAGAAAAACAAATCTGACCAGAAATAGACCATGAAATAAACAAAAAAATGAAAACAAATTCTTCCTATAGCATAACAGAGAATTGAAACACAGACAACCCCCTTCTTGTCTCACCTTGCCAGGGCCTTTTTCCTGAGAAATGATCAGTCAGATCTCTCTGGGAAAGCAGCAATAGCCAGGAGTGCAGCAGCTGCTTAATCTTATAGCCCAGGAAACATACCTTGCTGTTCTGATGAATGGGTCAGTCTTGAACAAGCAAAGACTGCTTTACGGAGTGAAATATGGTAACTGGAATGAAGGAGAGCCATCATTTCTAACCAATATAATTTAATTTTCCATTGCAACTTTCTCTGACCCTCTTTATTTTTAAGCATTGGGAGAATAATACCACCAGGAGAGATGAGGGCCGTTATAGATGTTATCATTGTGAGGTACCCTCAGGAATATTGGAAATAAAAAAATCCTCTACCTATGATCAATAATAACTCATCACCAATGCTAAAGATGGGTAAACAATATGCTTGATCAACAATTGTATAAATGGAGGGAAAAAGCTCCGTGTCGGGCCTCTCTGGTATAAGATATTGAATGTTCATCCTAGAAGTACTCATTTAGGCAGGTTCTTCTTATTATGTTAAATTACCCCCAAATGTCTATGCTAGTCTGAGGGAGTATTTATTGTCTCCTCCCATCATGCCATCTCTTGTATAGTAAGCCTAGGGCTCCCAGAAAAAGTTGCCATCAAAAACAGACAATAAGAGGAATGAGCTCCAGGCCACTTCTTAGTGTTATTGTGCATTGAACTACTTGCTGCATCTTGTGTTAAGAGGAGAGAGGCCAAAGGACAGGCCATGGGGCATGTGCATGGGGCACTGAAGGAATTGGTGGGGAAATAGTGGAAATAGTAGATTGGTTTTGATCGCACCCTTGAGATCTGGGTAAATCTGATATCATTAAGGCCAGCAGATTCTGTTTCCATGTTCCAAAGGTGTTTATAAAATGTAGATCATATTCACTATAACAAAATTCTCTAGCCAATTCTCCATACCGCAATGTTTGAGGCCTCCAAAGGGGTATTATTTATAAATTACTCTTGACTAGTAGAGACGTAAGAGTTGTTCAAATGAGCAGAGTTGACTCCTAGAGAAAGAGTCCCATCTGAGCAGATGCATTCCTCATTCTCTTCCTCTTCCATTTCTTCATTGAGCTGATGTTCCCCATTATACACCAGAAAGTTAAGGAGAGATAAGCATAGCTTTGAAGATCATGTAATAGTGATAGACATTAAGAGCCCAAGCATCAAGTATACCTCTATTCATATTAAAGATTGTTGAGCAAAAACCTCAGTCTTTTAAAAATATTCCCTTTTATTAAACAAGTAAAAATAATGGAGAATTATTTCCAGTTATTCTTAGCTAAAATAATTTTAGTGGTTAGATTAAGAATGAGTGAGTACATTGTTTGATCACTGACTAAAGTGGAGCAAAATTCAAAAGAGATTTATTTAACTCCTTTAATAAATTAGTTTTTTTTTTTTTTCTTTTCCATTTGGAAAAGCAGAGGAAGTAATCCTAAGAAATGACAACATAGAAGGCCTTAGAATATTGGAAAGTTCTTTGTCAGTAGAAGTAGTTCGGAGTAAAATAAATTGAGTTATGTTTTTCTAAAATATATTCTGCCATGATTTTATTTTATTCTGATGTTATATTTCTACAGAATCATAAATGGTTCCCAAATAGGAAATCCAAGTAAGGTGAAATATTGATATCCTTCAATCCATCAACATACTGTATTTTTACAAAAATAATGTGCACCTTCTGTGTTTGTCATCTGTGCCTTCCCCACACCAGCTAATTTTTTTTGCAGTAATATGTGGAAGAGGATTGACATGGTGGCACCTTTGCAGGGGTAGGGCGCGACCGGCAAACAAACGCAGAAGGCACAAGTTATTTATGTAAAAATATGGTACCCCTGTATCATTTTAAAAAGGCTTATGTGTTTCTTTCATCATTAATACCACCATCCTTTAAAAATTCAATGATTCTGGAAAGATATATTTTCCTTTTATTTTTCCCAGTAGCATTATCAATGCCTATTTATTTTCCATCTCTTAGAAAATGATGTAGCTGTGTGACCACAATCTCCCAAAAAGTTAATAGAGATAGGAAATGGTCTGCCATGATATTTATTGAATAGCCAATGCAAATAGGATATTATACACTATGAAGAGTACTAAGAAATGAGATGTTTAGAAACCAGAATGTTGAATTTTACAAGTATACAATTAATCTAATTCTCTTAATTAGAATTTAATTTCAGTTAATTTAACTAATAGGAGTGTTTTGAATAACCTCACTGAGTTTTTGTTTACCATATATATCTACTTTAAGTTGTTTTATGTGACCTTTAAAACATCAGTACAATATGACAAATTCTGGTTGTCACGTGATTTAGAAATTTATTTCCATTATCCACAAATACATAGCTAAGAAAACTATAATACTGCTTGTCATTGAATCAAGATTTCTCCTTTCTCAGAATAAAGGAATAGAGACTCCATTATTCAGGTTACCTAGGATTTTCAGCTAGACAGAGGAGAAGATAACTATAGTGAAATGTTACTTGCCAATGTCTATTGAATTTTTGTGATCCACTTTTCTCCTCTTCAGTTGCTCAAGGAAGCCTGTTATGATACCTGGTCCATTTTGACCAGGTAAGGCAGAGAGACCAAATGTATGGGAATAATGCTGTTTCCTCCACCCAACCCATTAGGCCGGCAGTTAACCATCTTCAACACCCAGGCGCAAATAGCCATCGGCGGAAAGGACAAAGGACGTCTCTTCCAAGGCCAGCTTTCTGGGCTCTATTATGATGGTTTGAAAGTGCTGAACATGGCAGCTGAGAACAACCCCAATATTAAAATCAATGGAAGTGTCCGGCTGGTAGGAGAAGTCCCATCAATCTTGGGAACAACACAGACGACCTCCATGCCACCGGAAATGTCTACCACTGTCATGGAAACCACCACTACAATGGCTACTACTACAACCCGCAAGAATCGCTCCACAGCCAGCATTCAGGTAAGCTTTCCTCCGAGTAGAAATTGTCTCTATTTTCTTGCCTCTGAATCATTGCTAGCATGATCAGTGTTGCTATGTAACGGAAGAGTCTGAATGACTATGTTTGTAGGAAGGATGCCTACAGATACTCGTTGTAATAAGACCCAAGAGTAGAGAAAGACAAAGTCATCGCTAAAGAAGTTATAAAAATCTTGTGGCACTCATGGGTTATTATTCCTATCATATTTATCACTGAAATGGTAAAGCTGATATTCAAAATGAGCGACAGGTGACACTCAGTATGAAATACTCTCTCCTCTTATTTTATTATCTTTTCTTTTCAAATAGCAGAAAGGGAAAAGGGGGAAAGGAAAATTTGTTATCACATGAAAGATTATATCCTTGTTCAGTTCTGTTCATCTCCTCCAGATGGCTTTGCTGGAATATGAATTGTTCATTATTGAGGCCAGTGGGCACCATTAAATCAAGGGCAATTGAAACTAGAGGTGCAACTAATTCTTGTAAAATGCTTTTTATGTTGATATTGAGTCTTGATTAATCACTTGTCTTTTTTTTTTTTTTTTTTGGTCCATTTTGTTTCTTTTATATTTGACCAAGATCCTAATTACATTAGAAAATTTAAGGGTTTGAGTTTAGCTCTGCAGAAAGTCCTTAGTTTTTGTGGGAAGATTTTTGTTTTTTTTCACTTGAAAGTAATTACACCCAGCTAAAGCTTAATACTTTGCTGATTCACTTGACATTTCATAAATCTAGTTAGTTGGGGGTAGGAGGTTAATCGAGTTATTAGCTTTCAATGCTCTGGCATAAAATAAAACATTTCAATTGCTTGTGGGGAAAATTGTCCCTAGCCTAGTTAGTGTTTGTAGAAAACTCACTAGATCAGTACTTGTCCCATCTGCTTTTAGTTTTAAGACATTATCTAGGGACTCAATTGAGTTTTGACATAACCTTGCCACTGACTTTGGTGGACATTGTAAACTTTAAGTTAATAATCAATTAAATCTCCTATGTGTTCCCATTCTTCTGAATTAAGTTTACAGGTATACGTAGAGGTAAAGGTGTTGTTTTCCTTTTCCCTTTTGTTTGAGCAGAAATATCCAGACAGCTCTTTGTCTGACTCCACGGGAACAATTTCCAGCTGTATATACTGAAGATGTTATCAGGACAATTTTGTATGTTTCAGAAAGGCTACTAAGAGCCTGATTCTTTGTTTTAAGAGATTAGCATAGCATAGCAATCTTATAGTTGCACATGCTGTTGCATGCATACCTACAGACATGCTCACAAAAATTGCTTCTTCTCTACTGATATTAAAGCAATAACTCCTGACACCACTCTACTCACTGAAACGAAGATAAAAGGCAATATATATTTCTATTATGACTCTCTGTAGCTCAAGAGCAGATCTGTTTATTGTTGGTGAAAGGATAGTTCTGTCTGCACAAATCTTGGAAGAGTTGTTTTGTTTCTGTCAGAATACATTGCCCTAACTCTGTGGGAAGCAGAGGAGCAAATGACTTTTTCTTTTTAGCAATAGCTGGTCCCCTAGTCTTTTTCAAGGCCAAATTCTCACTGACCTTGGGAGAATGTAATGTTACACAGGGATTCAGGGACTAAACAATGATAATGATCTGCTTTTGGCTTTCCCTCCTTCAGAAAATACACAAATGGGAGCAGATTGGGTGACCTCCTAAATCCTTTCCACAATCTAAGAAAGTCAGAACTACTGGAGAAGAGTAGGGTATGAGGTGTAGAAACTCTTGCCAGAGATTGTGACTCTGAACATCATAGAACCTGTTGTCCTTTTCGAGGAGATGGACAGCTGGAGGATGCCCTCCCCAGCAGCCTTCCTTCTGTTGTGTATTTCTTCTCCTTTGAGTCCAATAATAATTGGATTACATCTATGTGTCTTTCCTTTTACTTTTACCAAGGCTGTAAAAATCAGTTTAAAATCTGTCCACACTCTTTGTTTTTAAGGGTGTGTAAATACCCATTCTTGGAGGAAAGCCAACAGTCTTGCAGAATTGATTAGACTGGGATGAGGGATAAAAAAGCCCCATGATCTTTGTAAAAACTAGCCAGAGGAAATGGCTTTGTGTCAAGGTGGGTTTGTTTTTTGTTTTTCTGTAGCCACAAGAATTCTGCCTTGGGTTCCATGAAAAAACGCAGTAGCTCGCCTTATCTCCAAGACTATTCTTATTTCAAGTACATTCTATAGATCACATCAAGCCTATGTTAGGACTGGGGAACCCAACAACCCTTACATTCTGTACCAGGTGTAAGATAATTCCTAGACTCTGCAAACTTTACATAAGAATGTCAGTTCCAGAGGTCTAATGGGCCCTGTGTGATTCAGGTACATTTTTTCGATGAAGTGGGTAGTGGGCTCATAAGGCTCAGCTACCTGGGAGATAATTCACAAAGACAAAAAAAGGGAGGAAGCCTGGATTTTCTGTTCATCAGGCCCACCATTCACTGTTTTATCTATGTGTGCAATCTTACAGCATTTTTTAAAAGATGCCGTGTTCTATCCTCCTTTACTCCAATAGTATTGTCAAAGCAGGGTTGTCCTAAGATGAAACTCTTCCACGAGAGACAAAATAACCATGTGAATTCATTAGAGTAAAAACCTGACTATTCAAAAATCCACTATTTCTTTCTTAAAGCATGAACTAAGAAAGGATCATTTGAACAGTTCATTTCCAGTGAGTCTTGGCTGGTGTTGATTTCAGATGAAAGGAAAACTAGTAAGTGCTTTTACTGTGTGTGAATGTGAACAAATGGTTCTTGACTTGATTTGGCCCTCCAATGCTTGAGCCTCCTGAAAGTAATTAGTGCTTTGATCTTTCTGACACTCCGGTTTGTTACAGATAGGACTGTGGAACTACTTTGGTGACATGGACTATGTTAAATTACTCACAGCTATGGTGCCCAAGCATCATATCTTCACCCCATACTAAGAAGGGTGTCTCTAGGTGCTCCCTTGAATAAAAAAGGTAAAGACTTTCATTGAGAAGTAGGTAGGTGCGTGATAATTCTCAAGCAAGGGTCTGATACTTAGGCACTCAGTAAATATTAACCAATGAATCAGAAAACAATCTAGGCTTCATTATCTTATAGTCATTTAACAACTGAAGTTAGAATAGTTTGGGGAAAGTTTTCCCTTTACCACAGTGATCAGGGTGATTTTGAAAATGTATTTTCTTTTAAAAGTGGTAAGGCTATAACATAGTGATTAAATGCATACACTTGGAGCCTGCTTGCCTAGATTTAAAACTCAGTTCTTCCTCATACTACTTCTATGGCCTTGAGCAAATCATACATCCTAGTTGACTATTACTGTGAAACAAACTATTGCATAACTTAGTGGCTTAAATAGGAATCATGTCATTAGCTCTTATAATTTTGTGGGTCAAAAATTTGGCCAGGGCATGGGTAGGCAATTCTTCTGAATTTTAAGATGACTCGGGTCACTCAGCAGTATTCAGCTGAGAGCTGCTCTCTTCTGGAGCAGACTTTGTACATTGGTGGGTTAACTGGAAAGACTGGGCTCAGCTGGAGCCCTTGCTTTCTCCATGTGGTCTCAGGACCTCTCCAAGGGGTCTCGTCAGCAGAGTAGTTGGACTTTCTTCATGAAGGCTTGGAGCTCACAGAGAGAGAGTTGCAAGGGGCAGGAAGTAGAGCCTGCCAGTTCTTAAAGCCTGGGCCTGGAAACTGGCATAGTGTTACTTTTGCCATATTCTACTGGTGAAAATGGTCACAGAGCTTTCTCAGTCTTGGGGGAAGAGGGAGAAACAAACATCATTTCTCAATGGGAAGAGAAGCAAGAATTTTCAGCCAACCTAAGTCTATCACATTGCAAAAAGGGGAGCGAGGAGTGCTAATAGTACCTATATTATACGGTGGTTGTGAAGATAAGTGAATTAATATAGTAAAATATTTAAAACAAGTATATCGTGCATAGTAAGTTTGTGTATGTTTTAACATTATTATTATATTCTGTCATCAACACTTGTTATGTAAATCAAAACTCTCTCAAGCATGTCTGTATCTCTGAAAATGGAGCTACTTCTATTGGCCGAGTGGCTGTAGTTCAGAACAGGGATTAGGAGTTTTGGGGACTAGGGATTTGGATTTGAAGGAGGGTCAGGCTAGAATTTGGAGAATGAAATTAGTTCTGACAAACCAAGTCTCTAAGATCTCAGAAATGGACTCTTTTGACAACTCACCACCCATCTTTAATTCTTTCTTCAGTTTTTAAACCAACCTGGAGTTCTTATAGTTTTAGAGAATATGCCCCATTATGAAATCAGTCCATCTACACATATTTTTGAGGTTAAAAAGAAGAGGAATCCAGGGACCCTGAAAAGAAAAGGAATCCAGGGATCCTTCCTTCATGGAGCTTATAGAGCTTGCCCTAAAAATGGCAAGAGGGCTTGACATTAACTATCAATATTAGGCAGTACCTTATGAACGGTTGTGTGTGTCACATGGATAGGGGTGGTATTTGGGATGGCCTGGCTGGATCCCAAGGACTGAATCCCTTGGGCTGGATCCCAAGGGTGAGGAATTTGGAACTAGGATGGATGAGAGGGTTGACGCTGGTCCTTGTAGAATGAGTAAAATTGAATAGGTAGTGAGAGGAACAAATTCTAGGTTACATTATATGAATGTCAGAAGCTAAACTGTGGAAGTTAGAGATGATAATTTCTTGGGGCAAGAGATAACCAAGCCCAACTACAATAGAAAGTGCATGGAGGGGATCTGTGAGAGACAAGGGATATGGATACCGAAAGACTTGGCCTAAAGCTCCCCCAAATGGCAGAGGGTAAGAAGAGAGAACAGGATTGGGTTCCCTGTAAATCTTCCCATCAGGGATGCCCCAGCAATCATACATGTATGTTTACTACAGCTGACCCCAATGTTGCTCGGTTACCATCATGAACCTGATAGGTCAACTTCGAAAATGGAAAGGCTCCACTTGGTATACCCTGAAATCC